GAATACCATACTACTTCTGTTCTTCCTAAGAAATGTGCCACCATGCCACTGCGACGTTTGTACTAGAGGTTCGAAACGACGCAGTGGTCAATTGGAACAGTTATTTTCTTGAAGTTTGCGTCTAGAAGGTAAAAGAGGACGTGAGAAACATTGTCGGCAGTCTTGTAAAGCATCTATTCCCAGTTCCAAAACAATACTGGCAAAATCCTTCCTCAACAATGAACCTCTCTTCCTCAATAGCGAGGAGTGCAGCAATGATTTGTTCCAGAACTGTTCCAACACACAAGTGTTCCAACACGTCTGGTGGAACCCATCCCGTTACTTTTGTGAGGGCTAATCGTTGCATAGGTGACTGAGGTCAGCACCGGTAGAAAAAAGGACTGTAAGAATTCAGTATTCCGGTTCGGGTGGGAGAATCAAACGCTGTTTTGTAAAAGCAAAACTCCTGCAAACTGTTCGTTACCTGGCAGTGCGGCAGAGCCGGTCGCGCTCGTCGCATTGCGACACATCTGCTCGTACCAGAGGTCGGTCAGCCGGTTTGTACCCAGTCGGTCGAGGAGAGTCGAACAGTTCCATGGAAAGGTGGCACCTAACGACAACCGGTAGTCGTCGTTGAGGCACTCCAGCAATTGGGCAAGCAGACACTCGGAGGTGTCAGCTAACCTCAAAGTTGAGCCACAGCCTCGGGGGGACCAAACCGCGAAAATCCAACAAACTTTAAATAGCAGACCGAAGGCGAGGCTGACTGGTCTCATGCCACTGAGCTGAAGTGTTGCAGCATCGTCAAGCGACGACGTGTGGATTGCAACGAGCGTGGTAACAACAGTCGCCGGTACACGAACAAACAGGACAGACACATCGGCATGTTTTTGTTTAACAGATCCAGTTCTGTCGCGTCGCGTCGCATCGTTGCTCCATTTTTCCTCCAAGGTTCCGCCGTTTCAAATAGCGACCTCACAGCGTAGGAGTTTGGCCAGGATCATCCGCACCTTGACTCCGATACTCGCGTCTATACTCTCGCTCTGTGGGGCATCAAACAATCCACCGACCAAGCCAGCTGTTAAAGTAGCAGTGATCCTGAAAATCAGTTGCGTTGCCTCATCGTCAACAACGGAAAAAACTCGTCCGTGATAAAATTTGCCCGGCACACGGTTTCAGCTTACTCAACGCATTTTCATAGGCGTTTCAATGAACTTTAAACTGTAATCACCATAACTTCGAAAAATTCATCAGACTGGGCATACTCGGCTGTATCTTCCAACTTCTGGCAGGTCTTCAAGTGAAAACAACCTATGATCGTTGTGCCTCAAAATAAATAACTCTGTTTATTTACCATTAACTGGATGACTGATAACGCTTCAGAAACAGAAGCAATCAAACATTTTCCTCTCACTGAATCGATCAATGATTTTGATACTTTCAAAGTACTGTTCCATGTGTTCCTGTGTTTGTTGAAACCGTCACGTTGAACCGTGTCCGTAAGCAGTACGTCTCTGGTTTATAATATCTACCGTATCCGCAGATTTTCAACACTTTCGCTAGAAAGCGCAGATCACTGTATCGCAGAAGGAAATATTCTTCTTCCAAAGCAGCTTGTTTCTACCTCGATCTTCAGTGTTGGATATTGGCCTCCTGATTCATACCGTGAATCCTCGTGTTTCGGTTTCGACGCTTGATGTAATTATGAAATAAGATTCACGGTATAATATTATGCCTTGATCACAGACGGATGCTGATAAAACTCCAACGCTCTGAAGTTCTGAACCTCTGCAAATGAAATCTATTCTATTTAGGTGTCCACTCCATTACAGGCATTCATGCCATTGTTGGTGCTATGGTAGAATCGAACCTGGTCCACAGAATCATTCAGTAGATGTTTATCAGCGGAAGAGTGGCAGTGCGCAAACTGAAGTTGCAATAGGCCAAAGCTTTGACCTTTATGCAGATGCACTCCCTCACTTCGGAGGGAGAATATGACAACTTTCCGGAGGGAGCAAAACATTCTCTGCACAAAGTGCCGAACACCGAGTCAATCATGTTGATAAGACGTTGGAATAACACTAAAACCTGGAACGGTCCTAGCGACCGTTCTGCATGAAGTACATGCGGTTTTGAGCAAACACCGGAATCTCTGCCATGAACATGTAACAGAAAGGGTTCAGAAAACTATGCGGACGTAAACCGACTTCGCCCGGGTACCCTGGGTCCGGTAGTTGACCTGTTCCCAGTCACCATCATTTTCCTTATCTTCTTCCTTTTCACTTGCATAACTGTCAAGGGTGTCGAATATATATGCATACAACCGTGTTTTTCGCATTTTTCGACAATCCCATATATTGATTGATCATGCGTCCTTTCTTTTATATTTCTGGTCAAAATAAACGCTCCAAATTATTCATCCTGAAGACCTTCGCCGAGACAGCGGATTCCAATGGTAGGTCAATGCACAATAGAATGGATATATGCAACACACATGATT